GGGGTGGGGTGGGGGGGGAGGTTAAATGGTTTAAAAAAGAGAAGCCTTCCGCTGGCTAAACTTTTATTTTACACCTAGTCAAAGTTATATCCCACTTTAAGTCGAAGAAAAAAGAACAGCAGTAAAAGAGACCCAATATAGCATCAAATCTGTCAACCCCGCAGTGCATAAGATACATTTAATAATATAGTAATGAAAGACTCAAACAGGAAAAGGAAAAGCATGTAGAGGAAGCATTTGGGGATCTTGGTATCATTTGTAAGTCAATATTGAGCAAAAAACAAGGGGTTCTTTTCTGGTTTTCAGTTTCCAACTTCCAAACTTACAGTTCACATCAGACTTGAGCACAAGAGGTGGTTATGTAAGCAGTTATTCTCCCCTTGATGAAAACATGAATCAACGTAAAAGAGTCAACAAGGGCAGGATGAATAATCAGGATTTTATTCTAATATCAGCATGATACGAACCTGAAATTTATCAGAAACCATGTGCCGTAGCCGCTGATAATAAACAGGCCCAATAAATATTTCACAAGTCAGCTCTGTCCCATATACTCCACTATATAGTACCTCTACACCATGGTAATTGAAGCCAGAAGCTGTTAACATGGAACCAAGTTCATCCACCAGTGAACTGGATTCTGATTCTGCATCCTTCATCGTGTTAGAAAATGGCGTTGCATCGACAAACTTTCCATGTAAAGCACCTCCCTGTTTGGAGATAGCATAGAAAATAGAGTCTTCAGCATGTACGATCATCCATGTCAAGCTAAAGGAACAATTTTATTCCATAAACAAGAGATGTCTTCAGCACATGCAATCATGTAGCCAGCTACTTCACTCTGAAGACTGACAGAAGAGAAAACAGACGTACCTTAGCAGCAATTGACTCCAATAGCATAGCAATCGTCATCCTTGAAGGGAATGCATGAGGATTAATAATAAGATCTGGCCTCATTCCTGTAACTCCTGAGAATGGCATATCAATATCAGGCCATAATTGAGAGCAAACACCCTTTTGCCCATGTCGGCTGCTAAATTTATCACCAATTACAGGATTCCTGGAGCGCCTAAAACGTATGTTTGCCTGCCCAGAAAGAAACGATTGTCGTAAGTTGATCAATTTGAAGCTTTTTAAAGTCATGACACCAGAGTAAAAATTTTAGCTAACAGAGAGAAATGTGTACATCATGAACTAACAAGGTTTTTATTATAACAAATAAATAAATAAAAAGAAAAAAGAAAAAAGCTGCCAAGTAACAACAGTTGCAAAATTTGATAAGCGCAATAAAACATTCAACCACAGCATCAAAGGGAACATCCCACACTTTAGACAACAAAAAGTAAATAGTACCACAAACCCCCTGAAGAACATGAAATTTTGAACTTCCAAGGCAGACATGAATCACCAAGAGAATATCAACTTACCTTGATACAATGAAATAAAAAGAGATATTGACAAGGCAATAAGATGAAGAAGTTATAGCAAACAACAGGGACTTCATAAACTTGTTATCTATGTTAGATCTATGCTAAATACAAATTAAGGAAAAGTAGTGAGTTCATGAGTATGGACAGTTGGTGGCTAGAGATTATGGTTTTCTTCTTTTCCCTTGTCAAGGGAGGGTGGACCACTACGACCAGCATAGTTACATCAGAAACCAAGAAACATTTGAAGTTATCCATTGCTCAACAAGTTCAATCACAGAGACAGTGTCATTGACTCAGGTTTTCCCTGTAGGTTCCCGTTTGCCTTCAGTAGAACTTGGCATAAAATGCAAATCTAGTCAAGATTAGGTGATTCTCCTAGTTCTCGTAATTGATATGCTGCTGACATCTCCAGTAAAATATTGCATAAACAGATTGAAAAAGCATAAATTTGAGGGGTGGGGGAACAATATTAAGTTATGTACCATTGTTAGTTCAATAATCTCAGAAGCAGGGAAAAGCTTGAAGCCAATGGGACACCTCAAAGTCAAAAGTTAGGTTCGCAATTAATCTGGGGGAATTTAAACCCTGAGGTTATCACAGATAGTAGTTGGGAGAACAGCTTAAACCCTGAGGTCATTCTCCTCAGCTAAGTTGTTTGCCAACAACCAACAGGATGTTGTTCGGCCATCCATTTGTTCCCGGTTAACAACTACCAAATCAATTCTCAAGCATAGGGAGTAACAACTTGCATGTTGAATCAACACCACCACCTTACAGCAAAGGGACTATGAAAAACAATTTAAGTACCGTTCCCATGATCCCCCTAACTTTTCTTCTTCCCCTCCCCTAACCAGATACAAGTCTATATAATACATAATTTGAAGATACGGAATTTAACCCCAAAGATTAAACCCATTAAGTTAATGAAAACCATAATTTCATCATTTCCACCTAAGGAAAGCAAGGGGCGTGAGGGAAAGAGGTGTTGATAAACTAGAAGAGCAGAACCCAATAGGATGCAGGGAAGGGTCTTGAGAAGATGGATAACTAACCATCTGAGGAAGAGTCTGAATCAGACAAGAGGAAGCAATTTGATTCAGAATCTGAGTGCCCTATAAATGCTAACATTATGGGACTATAGCACTTGCTGGCTGCTGATGATATGTTGCAGAGGTGGCAGAGGATGCTATATATACCTCTTGGGTTCCAGAATAACTCTTGGAACAAAGATAAGACAGCAATTTAAATCGTTGGAGATTCTTTTTTGATAACCAAGAAATCTCTGAGGGCCAGTAAGGCACGACTTGAAACTCAGTTGATAACGGGCCCTTCCCTTTGCCCTTCTCCATTTAAACACCAGGCTTTTTTCTGTGGCAGGGTTCGAACTTGTGATGTTTGCCTAACCAAATAGTTGAAGGAGAAAATCATATGGACCGGAAGAAGCAATTCAGATCAACATAGGATCTAAAGAGGTCCCAGGCCAGGTAAGCTATGATAGCGAACAAAAACATAAGGAAAACATACAAAAGTTCTTCACTTACCCATCAAAAAAAGAAATACAAACGTTCTTCACTTTTTAAGCATATCAGAAGCATTATAAGACTATGATAGGACTACTTCAGGATCAGGTTCTCAGTATACTTCACTAAATTTGGGTAGCATCCACCTTGGAGGCTCCATCAACTAAATTATTCACTTACAGATTTCATCTCTCCACTCCTTTTTTCAAAAGATTTTAGGTAAATGTTCTACCTGCCAAACCCAAATATATGGGGCTAAGGCATAGTTGTTCTACCTGCCAAAATCTTTACCCAATATCAAAAAATCCTTGTTTTGCCTCTTCAAAGTTTATTAGATCAACCATTAGACACTGGATTACAGGAAACACAGCAATTTAAAGAACTTTAAAACAATAAGGGGATTACTCATAAACGCAAGCTTTATGATATTCCATTTGATGGGACCAGGGAACGTTGACTGAATCCCAGGCAGAAACGCATGTTTTAAGAAACTCCACTGTGAACGAAAGATGTATTTAAGCCAACAGCATAAGGGTTTGCTTCGTAACTCTAAGATAATTACGAGATCTAAGCAGATCTTACTTTGCAACCTAGTTTGAAGTTTAAATTGACCTAGTTGAATCCAGTTCATCTTCGTTCCCTGATTGGTAAAAGTGGCTATTATTCAGGATTTCTTTCATTGCCAAACTTATGGATCTGATCATATCTTTAAATTAATTTGCATGCCAAATATTTCATAAACATCAAAGGTGCTAAAGTAATGTAACATATGGTTATATGCACATTAAGTAATAAAATATCGTGTATGTATGAATATGATGGAGTACATCCATTAGGAGCAAACTAAATTTGGAGTGCATTTTACTCCATCTCTAGTTTAAAGCTCCTTCGAATCAAACTTGCTCCCACTAAACAGGATTCCGGAAGAGAGGGACATATCCGTAGAAACACTGGGCTTAGAGAAACATATAAATGACAAGCACAACTTTCCTAGAACTGTACGGCCAACAAAGCACCCAAGAAACAGAACTTTTCTTGTCTGAAAAGCAGCTTGGGGAGATATTTTGATTGCTGAAAATTTAATACTAGGGAAATGGATACATATTAGTTTCTTCCATAAAGAGACTGAAAGGATGTAATTCAACACTTCAACCACTAAAGTAACCTATAAACTATGACAGTTGATGCTGAATCTCTTTGGTTTAAGCCCGGCCGTGCCTAGAACTCTGGGATATTACTCCACAAGCTATTAGGTGAACTACAAGGAGAGAAAGGAACTCGAAAGCTTTTGAAGGTAAAGAAAAGTCCATCAGAAAGTTCTAAAGGATTTTTTTTTTTGCAATAAAGTATAATCTAAAGGACTTTGTCTAGCACACATGTTTTGCTGCTTGTATAGATGATGGAATGGAGTTCTGCAAAAGGAAGCTCTTCCCTTTACAGTTTGAGTATACCTTTTAATAGGGGCACCTTTCAGTTTGAGTATACCTCTAGTGTAATAGGGGCTTCTAGCAATAAAATAGCCTTACCAAAATGGATAGCTTAAAGCTGCAATCACACGACTATGATAATAAAGCATCAGATAGAAAACGTTCAGTGGCCGATGTATATATCGGAACTAGAAAGCAAAAGATAAAAGAATTATACCAGCTAATATATTCTAACAAACCTTTCATTTTATGAAGATGGAAAAAGTAGAAAATTAAGAGCACAGAAACAATAGCAGAGCGGATCAGAAACCCGGAAAAGTAACAGCACACATATATCTTCTCAAAGTCGAACATATCCTGGAACTACTCACCTTCTGCAGATGCGTTTTATTTTTCACATCGACAGCAACATAATCAACAACAACAGGCTCTGAACCCTTCAATTTCATGTTAGTTGTCTGACTGGTTATTTCGTTGTAAATGGTACAATATGGCTCATGTGGATTAATCCTCTGTAATCAAATTAGTATGTTGGTTCAGACGCAACTTGACCCACAAAAAGAAAATAAAAAATAAAAAAGAACAGACATCCTCTTACCTGCCCCACATATGGAAGACCATCAGAATCAATCAGCTGATGAGATGACTTATCCAAATAGCTTCTTCTAAACACCCTCTGAGCACGATCAGATTTGGCGCTTTGCTCAGTCAAGTCAATTGTTTCTGTCTGCAAATCAGCAGATCACACATTGGTCAATAAAAGACGTCCACATAAAAGATCAGAAAACTTGCCACTCCATCAATGCAGTGCCGAAAGGAAAGTCATAGTTCAGTAGATGAATTTGTATGGGGAACCCCCTTAGTGGCAGATGATACCTGGTATATATGCCCATGACACAAACCACGATCTACAGATGATTTATTTAAGACCATGGCATCCTCCATGTCATATCTGCATAACATGAATATATGCATTTTATGTTTCCACTGATAGAAAAGACAAGGCCCAGTACAGAACTCTTACCCTGAATAAGCCAAAACGGCCACAATTGCATTTGTTCCCAATGGATAGTCATCAACACAGTACTTCTCATAAGCTTTTGTGCGTACAATTGGAGTTTGAGGAGTCTGAAAAGATCCATTTTTCCCCAAAAGAAAATCAGAGGAAAGGGAAAAGATAATATCTCAGAGGCTAGAACATTATCAACATAAGTTCTTAAGAGTTACAGCTGTTTCAAGGAAATGACATCCAGTTCAAGGCACATAATTACTTAGATACTACTACAAAGAAGTCTCACCCTCCCAAAAAAAATATCGAATTGCAAATAATAACCAGGACAAACCTGAAGGTGATATAGCTTTTGATCAGCACGACAGTTTAATGCTTGTGAGGAGAAACCCATTGTTTGTTTACCCATCTGTACAGTAGATGAAGCATGAGATCCTTTAACAATCAAAACAAAAATAAATGAAGCATGAGATATACTGATGTATTGAGCCTCAGCAGTCTACATAACACATCCAGAAATCCTTTAAAATTAACTCAATACCTGACACTGATACATATTACGTGGACTTTGA